AGTTGCCCATGCCTTGATGTTCACAACAAGTATGCCCAAACTATTTTGGGGAGATGTCATTCTAAATCTACTTACCTCATAAACAGAATGTCCTGTTGCATTCTCTCAGTCAAGTTACCTCTCCAAAAATTTAAGAAATCTTTTCTCAATGTCTCCCGACTTGATTCTAGCTTACCCCTCTGAATATTCGATTGTATTGCCTTCATCTATGTTCATCCCTATCACCGGAGTAAACTCGACCCCGTGCACTTAAATGTGTCTTCATTGGGTACTTATCCACTCAAAAAGGATACAAATGCTATGATCCATCTTCAAGAAAGGTGTTTGTCACCCTTGATAGCACATTCTTCTAAAGGACACCCTACTTCAACAATCTCAATCTTTAGGGGGAGACTTTGAGTGAAGATCGGTTGAGTAAAGATTGATTTTTCGACTTTGATCTTTCTCCCATTGAACTTATCATAAACACACCTCTCTGTTCCAACATGCCATTTACAGAAGAAAACTTAAATTCAGGGGGAGATATAGTAAAAGAAGTTAACAAAGAGATATTAGCTTATTCAAGAAAACCAAAATTAATGTATAAGGACAACTCACACCTGAAGTACCACAAGAGTTAGAACCGATGATAGGTCCAAATCTTCATAAGACTCCTCTAAATAAAATTAAGTCCTCAAGTAATGACCTACCTATTGTTCTCAGAAAATAACCCCGATCATTTACTCTCCACCCTATCTCAAAATTTGTATCCTATAAAGCTCTTTCTACAGGGTTTCACATATTTTCTTCTAACCTTGATAAAATAGAAATTTCAAGAAATATTCAAGAAGCAATGGCCATTCCCAGATGGAAAGAAGCTGTTTTGGAAGAAATGCAAGCACTGGAGAAAAATAAAACTTAGGATGTGGTAGAGCTACCAAGGGGAAAAAGACTTGTCGGTTGCAAACGGGTCTTTAATGTAAAGTACAAAGCTGATGGGACAATAGAATGATACAAAGCTCGTCTTGTTGCAAAGGGATATACACAGACATATGGTATTGACTATACAGAAACATTCATTCCTGTAGCGAAATTGAATACAATTCGAGTTATCTTGTCCATAACAGCAAATTTGGATTGGTCTCTCCAACAACTTGACATTAAGAATACATTCTTGAATGGATATTTGGAAGAAGAAGTTTTCATGATATTACCTTCAGGTTTCTCTAAAAGGGAGGAAGAAAACAAGGTGTCCAAACTCAAAAATTCCTTGTACGGCTTCAAACAGTCACCAAGGGCATGGTTCGACAGGTTTACAAAAGTACTGAGAAATCAAGGGTTTCGACAAGCACAGTAAGACCATACTATGTTCTACTTAGTATCTGAAGCAGGGACAAAAACAATCCTAATTGTATAAATTGATAGCATAATACGGACGAGAGATAATATAGTGGAAATAGAAAGACTAGAGAAAAGCTTAGCTAAAGAGTTTGAAGTAAAACATTTGGGACAAATGCGATCTTTTTTGGGAATGGAAGTGGCCAGATCAAATATGGGTATCAGTGTTTCATAACGAAAATATATTATGGATCTCCTAACTGAAATTGGCATGCTTGGATGTAAACCAAGTGATACACGGATGGAGGCAAGAAGAAAAATAGAAGACATGGGAAAATCAATTGAAAAAGGCAGATACCAGCGGTTGGTTGGCAAGCTAATCTACCTCTCTCATACGAGACCTGACATAGCGTTCGCGATCAGTGTGGTAAGTCAATATATGCATTCTCCAAAGGAAAGTCGCCTAGAAGCAGTATATAGAATCCTTAGATATCTCAAAGATACCCCTAGAAAGGGACTTTTCTTCAAGAAAAATGAAAGAAAAAAATAGAAGTGTTTACTGATGTAGATTAGGCTGAATTAATAGAATATAGAAGATCAACTACTGGCTGTTGTACTTTTGTTTGGGGAAACTTGGTAACTTGGAAAAGTAAGAAGCAAAACGTGGTAGCTAGAAGCAGTGCTGAAGCTAAATTTAGAGTAGTTGCACAATGAATATGAGAAAGACCGTGGATAAAGAAACTGCTGGAAGAATTACAAACTATGATAAAATCTCCAATGAAACTCTACTGCGACAATGAGGCAACTATCATCTCTCTAAACCTAGTCCAACATGATCGAACCAAACATGTAGAAGTTGACAGACACTTCATCAAAGAAAATGTTGAAGACAAGATTATATGTATGACATATGTGCCAATAAAAGAACAAATTACAGATATCTTCATCAAAGGACTATCTCGACCAATTTTTGGGGATTTTATTTGCAAGTTGAATATGATCAACATTTATTATCCAACTTGAGAAGAAGTGTTGAAATCCCATCTATTATGGGATGGATTGTGTACCTTATTTAGATTAGGATAAATTCTCCTTCCAAGATTAACACATTACCTTTTCTAGACTTTTGTGGTAGTATATATTGAACTCATATGCTTGTAATTATGTAGAGAAATATAATATAACATTCTCTCGTTACATACGTCTCGTTTTCTACAAACAATATAGCCCTCAAAATTACAACACAACCTCACCAAGAGATAGATCCTTTCACTTTCTCTCACACTAATATGATTTCAATAAAAAATTGCAGAGAGTTCATCCAGAAGATGAAAAATATATAGTGAAAAGTATTGCGCCATGGAGAGAAAAAAGGGTTAGGGTTTTAAAACTTCTGAGTCCCTAGAGTCACATTTCTCATTTTATAAGAAAGAGAACCAAAATATTCATCTGCCAAGTGTCAACAATCAAGTATAGACCGCCTTCGGATAAGTAAAGAAGTGTTTCTAAAACACGTTTTCTCCAATTCTGGAATCTTCAACATAATGGATCAAAACATTAGGCCAGGTTATGCTAATATATGACAACTAGATCAGCAGCAAACTTGGGCTCAACAATTGCGACAGCCCGAACCTTTACAATCTCCACCTTGCTGAAATTTGAGACCATGACTTAAAATTATCCTCACTTGCTCTTATTACCTATTAAAAATAATAAATTAGTAAACTTCAAGATTTAACAATCTTAAAGAGAATGAATTTACTAAGAGATTATCTTTGTACATGCATCAGTTGGATTTATTTTAGTAGGGATTTTGACCAATTTTATATCACAATTTTCAACTATATCTCTAATGAAATAAAACTTAACATCTATGTATTTGGTTCTATAATGAAAGATTGGATTTTTACTTAAGAAAATGGAACTCTGATTGTCAAGAAATAACTCCACCTGACTTTCTATAAGTCCTAATTCATTTAGCAAACCTGTCAGCTAGAGGCCTTCTTTTACTGCCTTTATATCAGCAATAAATTCAGTCTCGGTTCAGGATAAGGCTACCAATTTCTGAAATTGTGTTTTCCAACTAATGCAAGTATTATTTATCACATAGAAATATGCTGTAGTGGACTTTCTATTGTCAGAATTTCCAGCAAAATTGGAGTTAACATAACCTTTCAACTTAAAAACCATTTGTTATCAGTTTTAAACATGAGTCCTAAGTTATGTGTGCCTTTCAAATATCTTATTAAAATTTTCATGGCTTCCTAATGAGACTCATCTGAATTGCTTATAAATCTGCTTAGTACGGTTGCTGCATAAGTTATACCAGACCTTGAAAGTACCATAACATACGTAATAGATCCAATAGCTTTAGCATATGGCACATGCAAGAAGTTTGAGTCCGCCTCCGATCTTGGTACCTAGGAATTGCTAAAAGTTGTTATACGGCAACTTATATTCTGCTGATTTTCAACGTGCCGTCAAATCCCTTTGTTTAACATACCCCTACCCTAAAGAAGTCTTCACAAAAAATATGATACTCATCCCCCTTAGGTCTACATGCTAGAAAGACGAGTGCAGAAAATATTTACAATAATTCCTCGTATACAAGTAGGATCAATCACTCACACCAGGTGCGGGACCCACCTGTATAAAAAATTACCCCAAAAAACCCACCCTGCCCCCCTTTTTGAGTAATCGATTAGGGTTCTGCCCTGTACACTAAGACAAATTGAAATATTTATCCGTCTATAACTATTTAGAAGGGGAACCTAGATGGGGCACAAGCCTCCAACCAAGTTTTGCAAGGAGGGATTGATCGAACTCCACAAAGTCTCTTAGCCGAAGTTCACCTTTGCCTTTTTGTTAGCACAAATTCTCCCACATAGTTTTCTTAGTTCATCACATTAAATGGCCAAAATATTGGAAAACCCCTATGTCTAGTATGGCCTCAACAATTATCTTAATGATAATCTCCTTGCCCTAGCTCAAATAATTTAACATTCTACATCTTCAACTTCTGTCACACTAAATAATCAAATGAAGTTCAAGATATTCACACAACAATATTTAGACTGAATAAATTTAGAATCTCCCTTCAAGCATCTGAACTAGTGTTAATGTCAAATGTAATCGCCACTTCTACCTATTAATTTTCTAATTAGATGCTTGTTGGTATCGAACAAGGGCTTCTTTTTTTGTGCAATCCTTGTGTGTGGCTCATCAAAATACAAGGCTGTCGGCTCATCAACAACAAAAAAAATAAATGGCTTACATGTCCATCTTAAGCATATTTTTATAAAAGTCAATTTTTGTACTTAAAAGTATAAAAAAGAAGTAAGAACATACAAGTATCTTCTAAAGCTATATTCGTCTATTTTGCATCTATTTGGCAATTTTTTGAAAATTCAAAAATTGTTTTAAAAATTAAGAAGTTATTTTTCAACATATTTAAATAATTTGGAAGTATTTGTCCGATTAAAAGAGCTAAGTTGGCCTATTGTAGCTTCTTTATAAAGTTCATTCTAATAAAAGTGGGAACAATCACGCCAAGCATCCAAAGACACTCAAATAAGTCATAGACACAAGCAAACATGCGCTAAGAGCTTTACAACAGCGGTCGTATATGTTGAAAATTCCCAGCCATATTATGGCCAGCGGCTCCAAATCTCCAATCGACCAACTAAATTATCAAGAACCTCAAAACCCACAAAAAGATCATGACAAGTGGAAATCATCCACACCACGAACACTATGTCCCACCAAATTCTCCACGCCAGTGCAACAGAAATCCACCCACTATATATGTACAAACGCTCTAAAATTTCGGCACTGATTGTTGAAAGTTGAGAAAAGAGATGGGGCGGAAAGAAGAAGAGAGGACAGACGGCGGTGTTGTGGTGGTGAAACCAAATCCCAGAAAAGGTGTCGCTTCCAAGGCCCTGGACTGGTTGGAATGGGCTTTAGTGAAGCTTTTGCATGATCCCAAAAAGCCCCTTCATTATCTTTCGGGTAATTTTGCTCCAGTTGATGAAACTCCTCCACTACAGGACCTCCCTGTTGTAGGGCACCTCCCGGTGAGTCCAAATATGATCGTGATGTTTGTGTTAGCGATTGTATATATGTTTCTCGATCAATTTTATGGAAATTATATATTTTTTGGCATGTTTCTTAAAATTTATTTGGGTACTGCATTTTAGCTTCTATAGTATATGAAAAAATGAGAAAGTCAGTGTATGAAAATTTTGTTTTATTTTCCTCACAAGTTTTGTTTATCCAACCAAGAAATGGTTTTCTTACATAGACAGACATTATATTTTAGTAATCATTTAAGAAATGCAATCTTATTTTGTCTAGTCTTGACAAGTTCTTAGACGAATACTTTTTTAATGTTTACACCCAAGGATTGAATAATCTTTTGGTATGTCAAGCCAGGTTGTGAGATAAATACTTAGCACTTAGCAGATCATCAAATGTATTTCTAAGTTATGTGGAATTAGGTTTAGCTTGTCGGCAGGGACGGATCCAACTGCTTGAGTGAGCTAGGGAGGAGCGTGGAGCATTTATCAAACACTGCCCAATATAACGATATTATTTACTAATATTTAATTAATTTATATTAAAAGAATCTCCAATCAATATATAAATGCAAATATTAAAATATAATCCAGTACAACCCAAAATAATAAGAAATAAAAATATATTTTTTGAGTCATATACCTATTATTAAGTTTCAAATTTTTATGAATTTAAGCGAGATAAGATGAAGTTTATATGTAGTGGTTAATCGATAAAGACAAAAATTTAAAAACAATGAATTTTAGAGCTATTTTTGCCCCCAAAAAGAAAAGTATTTTTCAAACTCTTAGAAGAACAAAAAATTTTAAAAAATAAATTGATAAAACTTAACAATTAAATAAATTTTTAAAGCAATAATTTTTAAAACTATTTTTACCCAAAAAAGAAATCTTTTTTTCAAACTCTTAAAATAATAAAAGATCAGTAATTAAATTGTCAAAATTTGAATTTTACAAAATAAATTGATAAAATCTAATAATAAAAGTATATACTATGAAGTAATAATTTGAGTTAACAAATTTTTTTAAAAAAGTTTTTTTTAGAAACAAAAACTAATAATATAGAATTGTTTAATTATTATTTATTGTGTTAAAAAATTAAGAAGAAGAAGAGGAGGTGAAGTGAAAAGGAGGGAGTCGAGCCCGGTTTGCGAAACCAGCGCCAGCTACAATCATAACTTGAATGATAGTGCAGTTTTACATATTTATCATAATAACTTCATCAACATCAACATGAAATTCCTTTACTGCCGGAGCCAGCACGGGCGGCCGCGCCGGCTCGCCGGATGCTGGCTCCGCCCCACGGTATCGTACTATGGTGTAGCATTTATGAGTAAGAAGTTCGATTCTCATTTCCATCTTTCAATTGATTATGTTATCATCTCCATTTGTCGCGCTTATGTTGCGTGTTTCGGCTGCAAAAATCTAATTTATGGAAAACTGTCCGACACAGGAGTGTCTGAATGGCGAGTTTGTGAGGGTGGGTCCTAACCCGAAGTTTGCGCCAGTTGCTGGATATCACTGGTAATTCTTTTTTCTTTCTCAAATTATTTTCTTTAGAGCCTCACATGGTCTTCTCTCATAATTCATCTGATTGATAGTTCTAACTTTTTTTAGTGGGATTTCTCTGTTCTATTGATTTGAAGCCAAATTTGTCTAATCATCTTTGTTTGTTCTCTTTGCAGGTTTGATGGAGATGGGTGCGTGTTTTTTATTGCTCGTTCATTTATTGTGATGCATAATTAATTCATTTTAATTTTCACTGAGGGCAATGTCTACCTCTTCTCCTTTCATTCCCTTCAACCATCACTTTTGTTGGGATTGTTGACACATACTGTTTTTTTGCACATTTCTAAACTCTACTTGAAAGAGGTATCTCTTCTTGGCAGGCATAATAAATCAACCATAAAAGCATACAATATATAACGATCGGACCTCATTTCCATAAAACATCTGATTGCTTTCCTATCTATCACAATTTATATAAAAAAAAAATTTACAGTGGATTATATTATTAAAGAATCTCTACCCCATGTTTTCTTATGGAATACACTGCCTAAAGCATCCAGGACAGTATTGCCGTTAAGTGATATCATTTATTTACATGTTAAACTTAGCCTATAACAGATGATACTTTAATTTAGTGACAAATAAGTTTTTGTTCTGAATCTGATTTTAATGATTAGAGCCCATATTGTCATCTTTTCAATCAAGCATTAATCTTTAGAATATAGCTTCTCATCGAAAGCACATAACTTTGAATCTCATAAAACGCTGAAGTTTTTGGGCCCAGTTTCTTGTTGTTTCTTAAAACCAGAGTATTGTTTGCTCAAACTTTAAGAACTTTTATCTTATTTCTAAGTATTAATAATTACGTCTTCCAAATTCACAAATCATTCGAGCTCAATATCAAGCTGTTGAAATTGAACTGAAAATCTGTTTTCATCTTTATTTTGTCTATCCACTGTTGGGCCTGTTAAAGATAAGTTCTTTAAAAATTCACCATTGGTTTTCTTTTTGTCTTATATAACAAGATTAGCTCTTAACCAATTTCAATTAGTTTTGTTTCTGCTTTGAAAATTTGTTTTTTGTGTGTTTCTAGTTCTGTTTATTTTATCTCTTTCAGTAAAGAATTTGTACTATATTCTGATATTTTCTGTTACACCATTTGGTAATTTTGACTTACTTAAGAATTCATTGGAGTTTGAACTAATCCAGCATGACGATATATTATGGAGTTAAAAATGTATTTGGAAATGGTGTTCATTTCTGCAGAATGATTCATGGAATGCGAATAAAAGATGGAAAAGCAACATATGTTTCTCGCTATGTGAGGACATCACGCATTAAACAAGAAGAGTTTTATGAAGGAGCCAAGTTTATGAAGGTATGGACTGGAAATAGCATATATATCATTGCAGACTTTGTTTTTCCCAGGTCTATCTCCCTCCAGCAATGTTTCCAATGGTGATTATTAGAGTTTCTTCAATCGAATGTAACCTTTTATGTTTGTATTAATTTATAACTTGTTAACCGAATTGCTCTGGTTGGCATATATAATCTGTGAAGCTGTACCGTCTACTGGAACAACCCTTATTTACCTCTCTAGAGCATGTCAGAACAGTAGTATCATGGTTTGATTCAATGTGCTTTCCTCTAACACTTGTGTAATCTCAAGTTATCTCAAGTGAGTCTATAAAAAATCAATGAAAAGTATGGCGGGACATTGTATATTAAAAGTATCCTATTGTTGCTTTATTAATTAAGTACTGGTGCACGAGTTAAAAGATTTGATTTTGTGGACGCAACAAAGCATTTTAAATAGTGCTTAACCCCAAAACCATTTTGGTATTATGTGAGCAATCCCAAGAATCCTTGATTTAGTATAATGGGACTTGTTTATTTCCACCTATCAATATGAGGTTTTTAAGTCCTTCAGATAAATATAAGTTAAGCAGCTATGAGTTAGTGGATTCACTGAAGTTAGACCTCAGTATCACCAGTCGACCCTTGATTATAAAAACTTAAAATGGTAACACATGCTGAAAATTAACTGCAACTGAGTAGCTTTATTTTTGACATACCAGATTGGACAAGCTTCCATCATTCATTCTCTTCTTTACATTTTCATTTAGGCAAATGTGGTTGTACCTCATGAATACAATAGCCTATCAGTTTTACATTTTCTTGGTTCATTATTTTGTTTGTGTCACTTGTAGATTGGAGATCTGAAAGGGATGTTTGGATTAGTCATGGTAAACATGCAAATGCTTAGAGCAAAATTGAAAGTATTGGATATGTCTTACGGACATGGAACAGGTAGGTCAGTTGTGTAAGCTTTCCCACCGTAAACTAAGCCTCCATTTGGCAAAATTTCTAAATCATTTTTAAATGTCCAAACTTTATCTTCAACCACACATTCCAAAGGATCCACAATTATTATCCGCTACTCATTTTTATGTATTTAGAAATTAAAATGTTTATAAATCCTTCCAAAATGGACCCTAAATTTGCATCCTAGAGCCTGCCTTCACCATCCCCACCCCCTGTTGACTTGTGGTCAACAGAAATGGTTAGAAAATTTATTTATTCTTTTATAAATAATACAATCTTTACTGGCACCATGTCTGCTGCATATGCTACAGAGAGGTGCTCACTGCTTTCTGAATGACATTGGTTTGGCATATATAAATATATACTATTCTTTTCATTTTTAAGTTGTAATGATTATAATTTTTTTTTTCCCCATATTTTTGTTTGCCAACCGCTGACGTGTAGATTATTGCAATCTTCTTCCAGCTAATACCGCTCTAATATATCACCACGGAAAGCTTTTGGCACTCAATGAAGCAGATAAACCATGTAAGCTAGCTTTCTTGTTTTATCTTTATATTAAAAATTGGGTGTTTTCTATAAACTCAAATTTCATTGTTATCCAACTGTTTTGCGGGATTCTACCCTTGGATCATTGACCTATTTTCAATTTTGCATCCCTTCTCAAGCCTGGAATTTTTATTTACTTTGTGGATGGTGCTTCTTGTTGATATCTTGGATAGGCTTCCCAGAGAAAATTTTCAAACTATAAATTTGTTTATTACTTGCATTTTGTATCTGAAGAGAGGTCAAAGATAAGCGGACTTCCGCTTTTTTTATATTAATATTTTCATTTTATTGCACAGATGCAATAAAAGTTCTGGAAGATGGAGACCTGCAAACTGTTGGCATGCTTGACTATGACAAAAGACTGACACATTCCTTTACTGCTCATCCCAAGGTTGACCCATTCACTGGTAAGAGAAATATTCACAATAATTCGACAAATAATTATCTATAAATATTCAGTTAATTTACCTATATTTATTGATAATAAACTTGTATTGTCGCTTGCTTCGACCCTACCAAGAAAGGCTTTGATGCATGTCCTTTAGGTGCATCCTTGCATGGCTGCAATAATTGCCTCATTTGATTTCATCCAGCCACAAATGGCTTCAGTTGTAACTATAAAATTGCATATGAAGTGCATCCAATCTTGAGTTTGAAGAGTGGAAGTCATAGATTTCCCCTTTGTTCTGTTTATAAATAATGCAGCTTAGCTTATGAAAACTTTGCATGCAGGGGAAATGTTTACCTTTGGCTATTCACAAATGCCACCGTATATCACGTACAGGATTATATCAAAGGATGGGCTGATGCACGATCCAGTGCCAATTACAATATCTGATCCCATCATGATGCATGATTTTGCCATTACTGAAAATTATGCAATTTTTATGGATCTCCCTTTATATTTCAAGCCAAAGGTAAGGGGATTTCACAAGAATGTCAATTCTTTGTTTTAGTATCTGTTCCAATTAGTTCGAAAGAACACATGTTGTAGGATCATTGGTTCCATTAACTTAATTAGCTTGTCATCTCATCTTTCTGAGATAAAAAGGGTTTTCCTGACTAAACTAATCTAAAAATGTTCAACTCTTCACATTAAAGGGATAAACTGAATTTAGTCTAAATGATGAGTCCCTTAATTGATAATACAAAGTTCACTGAGAGATTTGATATTTGCAACTCAAATAGGTGTGATTCGGTTTTGTTACCTCTTTTTGTTGCCTAATCTCTGTTTTGAGCTCTCTAGTTCTAGGAAATAGTGATTTTACTTTCCCATTATTGCAATATTGCTTTAACTAAGAAAATACTGTTACGGCTTACATATATAAAAAGGAAAGATGCAAGATTTTAAGTATTCTAAAAACATTCATCAATTTTAAGCCTCATGTAACTTTTATTTAACCCGTACTATATTAATGTTTGGTAGATTTTTTTCAAGCTTTTAAGTTGGTTAAAGATCACTTTTATCCACATGTACGGTAGGACCCATAGCTTATAATCAAAAAGCTTTACCAAACACACTAATATGTGCTTCAGATAACTATGAACTTGAAACTTGAAAGTAATATATTGTCAACTCTATTTCAATCTTATCATCTCCCTGTAGTGTCCCTAATTGATTTGGAGTTTTCCAAATCTGGAGTATTAAAATCTGCAAAATATTCTTCTAAGCTAAATGATGATATGACTTATTTAAATAGGAGCCAATCATAAAATTTTGGTTATTCATAACATTTTATTTTCAGGAAATGGTGAAGGAAAAGAAGTTCATATTTACGTTTGATGCCACTAAAAAAGCTCGTTTTGGTATCCTTCCTCGATATGCTAAGAACGAGCTCCTAATCAGATGGTTTGAGCTTCCAAATTGCTTCATATTCCACAATGGTGAGCAACTGATTTCATATATACCATAGAGTGGAAAATAAAATGCTCTCTATGTTTTCCGCTTCAAGGTCTGATGTCCTACAAAATTTTGTATGTGAACGATCTATCATCAATTCCGCATGGAGGTAAAGTAAGAGAACAAAATTAATTGCATGCTGGGCATTAAAAATCCTATCTACAACAAACTAGTTTCGATTATGCACGTGGTTTGATTTTCAAGTTGCTTACAACTCTACATGTGGTTGATGATAACTTTCCTTGTACATTGATAAAAGGCACTAACCCCCACCCCCCTGCCACACCATCACCACCAAAAAAGGAAAAAGAAGAAAAAAGTAAAATGAAGAAATTTGTGTGTGAGTGAGGGATACAACTTTCAGCCACATACCTTTGGAACTCATTAAGTATTGAAACTTTTAATGTTCATCAGATTCTTCATATCACCAGTCTTGTGTTGTTTAGACATTTCCTGTTGTGAAAGATGTTTATTTTTTTCCTTGAATTGTTTATTAGCAAATGCTTGGGAGGAAGGAGATGAAGTTGTCCTCATCACTTGTCGTCTTGAGAATCTAGATCTTGACATGGTTAATGGCGGTGTCAAAGAAAAGCTCGAGAACTTCACAAATGAACTGTACAAAATTCAAATACTCTCTCTCTCTCTCTCTCTCTCTCTCTCTCTCTCTCTCACACACACACACACACACACACACGCACATTCTCTTATTGGGAAGATGTATTCTGATTCTAGTTATGTTTGTCAGATACGAGATGAGGTTCAACCTGAAAAATGGACTCGCTTCACAGAAAAAATTATCCACTTCTGCTGTAGATTTTCCGAGGGTGAATGAAAATTACACTGGAAGGTAAATAAATTTACTCAATTCTGTAAAATTAAGCAATTTTTGGATCTAATTAATGACGCACTGCCATTTTTGTTGAGTTGCATACACGCTTTGGATTTTTATTGATTAACACTTGTCATCTTTATTTATTTTCAAATTCATTGCCCATCTTTATTTTCTATGTTTTCTGGTGGCTGTTAAATAGCTCACATGCTTTTATCAGTATAATCACAGATGTTTCTTTTATTCAGGAAACAGCAATATGTGTATGGAACGATATTGGATAGTATCGCTAAGGTAACTGGGATTATCAAATTTGATTTACATGTGGAACCAGAGATTGGAAAAACAAAGCTTGAAGTTTGCGGAAATGTTAAAGGTATCTTTGATTTGGGACCTGGAAGATTTGGTTCAGAAGCCATCTTTGTTCCCCGGCAGCCTGGTATGACTGCTGAAGAAGATGACGGCTACTTGATTTTCTTTGTACACGATGAGAACTCCGGGTACTTTTCTGCCTCTGATATATTTTTCAAAATTCTACTAATTAATTTTAGTATTGATTTTTGTTAAGTTCACAAGTCATCATTCATGGAAAACTCATTGACATGTCAATGGAAATTTCTCAAATAGCAGCATAATATATACCTACAAGCTATTTAAGATTATTTGTCAGTTCATAACCCATCTTAGCATTATTTAGATGAACTTCTTTAAGATAATTTTTGGCAATAATATGTTTGGAAGTAGTACTTGGTTTAATCTGGAACAGTTATTTATTTTTTTTTTTATTTTCTTTACAATTTTTATCTAGTAAGGTTTGAATCTGGTGTTTATATGGAAATTACTTTGTTTCTTCACTTGCTTTATTTGTTCTTGAAATGAAAAGCATCCCACAAAAATGTTCAGCTATTTTGTGATTCAACACTTGAAACTTTCTTAATTTTATAATGGTGGCTCATCTGAGACTACCAATTTTGGAATTGGACAATTCGTTTAAGCTTTAGACAGACCAAATTGCTTGTTTGAGTTTGTTGAACTGTGATACTACATTAAGATTTGAGATTCCATGTTAAAAAGTCAACATATTTAAGAGGAGTGGCTTAAAAAGTCAACATGTTTAAGCTTTACCCGATGTGAGCGTTGACACAGCTCTACTGTAATAAGATTGAGGACTGCATGCATATTCTTTTTTTCTTAAATTTAATTTCTATATGGATAAAGGTTAATAAGTGATGCAATTTATGACTCCAAATCAATCTGATTTTACGTTTCATTTTTGTTGCTTTATATGTAGAAAGTCAGCAGTTAATGTGATTGATGCAAAAACGATGTCACCCAACCCTGTTGCTGTCGTTGAACTGCCCAAGAGAGTTCCATACGGATTCCATGCCTTCTTCGTGACAGAGGTTAGTTTATCATTCTTATTCCTTCTTGGTTTCGTTTCATATTTTCTTTTCATTAAAAATATAAGATTAGAACCATTTTCTCGTGAAACTTCGCGAAAAACTTATGTAAAGTTAGATTAAGTAGAAAGAAATTTATATTCATCTACTTTAGGATAGAGACGATGAACTAGGTATATTTCTTTAGGACTAAGACGATAAAATATTGAAAGTGTCTCTTAAGATGTGAGTTGTGAGGGTTCATAAAACATAATTGGCCCAGGATTTGAGCTGCAGCTTCTTCTTCATCTTCTTCTTTTTCTTTATTTTTTCCGCCACATAATTTTTAAATTGCTTTTTGTTTGGTACTAACAAAATTTACTTTTCTAGAAAGTAAGTCTTAAGCCATGTACATAATTTATTGTCGAAATGAATATTTTACGATCCGACAACCACAACTCCAACTTGCAAATTCGCATTTTTTTTTTTTAATTCCGACCAAGTTTTCATTTTCTATTACGCTATGGTGCTAATTATCTAAATTGATGCTGGTTTGTGCAGGAACAACTTCAAGAACAAGCAAAGCTTTGATTATAGTAGAAGGTCAAGACAAGTGAGTACAATAGATGAATAAAGGATTTATTTCATATATAGAGGGCGTTTGGGAGACATTTTTACGTAAAAATACATTTTTGAATAGTAAATTGATGAAAAATGCGTGGTTGAAAAAGAAGGAATTTTTTTTGATTTACGTGTATTATTATTTTAATAAAAAATGTGTGATTGAAAAGAAGAGAGAGAAAAATGCATTTAAAAAAAAAATGGGTAACAAACGGGAGCCCCTGCGTGTGTAATTGTACCTTCGCCCGTCGTTCCCCTAAAAAGTTCACAAAAAAGGGGGGTGGGAGGAAAGGAAAGGAGGAGTAATGTACCTGTGGGAAACACCCTATAAACTTGTATATTTGGCACTGGATATTGATCTATGGTATTTATTTCTATTTGTTCGTCAGGCCTAAGGAAGAAAAGGAAGTTGAAATTCCATTTCTTATAATGTTTAGTCTTATTCAATATTACATATCAAATATGCATTGATTATTTTTGTGTGTCGTTGATTCAAACAAACTAAATGCTACATGATGTATGTGATATCCTCCCATTGTAATTATTACTTGCAGGGTGGTTCAAAATTATTCAATTTTCGGGTAATAATTTTTCCCTTACAAATTGAAATAAAACAATATTCATCCCATAATGGACATTGAACGTAGTTCATTTTTCCATACGCACTTAAATTGCCATCGCCTACACTATTTTCATTGATGAGACTAGAATTAGTAACCTTCGTCCAGTTTAACGATGGATTGAAGCGACATATTTAATAGTTTAGCTTTAGCTTTACGTGAAAGTGATTGATTTATTTATATGGTCTTTTGAAGTATTTATCTTAGTAGTTTAAATAATCAAAATTAAATTGATGTACAATGCAAAATTACAAACGCTTGTATTATTGAAATGGTTACTACTTTGTCGCCACGCCTTGGGAACATTTTGGCCACCAAAGTCGAGCTACGAGTTGGCCAAGACACGATTCATACTTTCAAGGGTCAATTCATGTTTTCAAGTGTCAAGTCAATTATGCACTTCAAAGTATGACTCAAATGTACATCTTCTACTTATTTATGTTTTCAACTGTTCGATTAAGTCTATATATCAAAATATATTTGTGGACAGGCACAATTCAAAGGCACATCTCCCGGTTAGCTTACATGTGTAGAAGATAATTAGTATTATTTTTTAAAATATTATTTATAATTGTTATTTTTATTGATTTTTACAAAAAGGGGCCCACTTTTGTCCAAGCATGGGAGCTGGCCAACCTTATTAGACTGAGATACCCTCCTATTTTCAAGACATGACGCACAAACATCAATAATAATCAAAGACAGGAGGTACTTTTTGAAAATTTCTGAATTGAAAAATTGAATCTACCACACCTTTATTCTGATACAAAGAGGTCATTATATACAAGAGAGTGGAGTGATTTCTGCCCTTATTTCTAGCAACTCAAATAATTATTAGGCTGTAATTAGCAGAGAAAATCAAGGTATATAATTCCTGATTTTACTCAATCAACTAATTAAGGAAAAAAAAATACGGAAAGATTGAATATAGGAAAACAGTAGCTGCACAAAAGCTATATTACTAGTTGATTTTCACCACTCTCCCTCGAGTTGTGCAGTAGATGTTAATCATACCCAACTTGGTGTTTAAATCCTCAAAGTTGGACTTAGGCAAGGCCTTAGTCAGCATGTCAGCTATTTGGTGTTTTGTTGGCGTGTATTGCAGCAGAATTATCCCATCTTCTATCTTTTCTTTGATGAAATGACGATCTATCTCAACATGCTTAGTCCTGTCGTGATAAACAGGGTTCTTAGCTATGCTTATTGTAGCTTGATTGTCACAGTACATGTGTAATGGCTCTTCATCTTGAATTCTGAGTTCCTTCAGTAATCTTTTAAGCCACATTCCCTCGCAAATTCCATGTGCCATAACTCTGAACTCGGCTTCTGCACTGCTCTTTGAAACCACAGTTTGTTTCTTACTTCTCCAAGTGACCAAATTTCTCCATACGAAGGTGCAAACCCTGACGTGGATCTTCGATCAGTAATCGAGCCTGCCCAGTCTGCGTCAGTGAAGATTTCTAAGCTCCTCTTTGCGTTCTTCTTGAAGTACAGACCTTTGCCTGGAGTCATCTTGAGATACCTAAGAATTCGGTAGACTGCTGCCATATGCTCTTCCATAGGATTGTTCATGAATTGGCTCATAACGCTAACTGAGAAACCAATGTCGGTTCTAGTGTGTAAGAGATAGATAAGCTTTTCGACGAGTCGTTGATATCTTCCTTTGTCAACTGGTGTCATGTTCTTCCCATTTCCTAATTTTATATTCAGATCTATGGGCGTATCTACGGGCTTGCATCCGAGCATTCCTGTCTCTTTTAGGAGATCCAGAACATACTTTCGCTGAGAGACTGATACGCCATCTTTTGTTTGAGATACTTCCATCCCCCGAAAATATCTGAGTTTCCCTAGGTCTTTGATCTCAAACTCTTTCACAAGAAAGTTCTTCAGTCTATCCATTTCTTCAAAGAAATCCCCCGTGAGAATGATGTCATCTACATAGACAATGAGAATGGATAATTTTCCTTGAGTTAATCGTTTGATAAACAGGGTATGATCTGATTGACATTGCAAATAGCCAAATCTCTTCATTGCCCTAGAGAAACGATCAAACCAGACGCAAGGAGATTGTTTTAACCCGTATAATGACTTCCTGAGCCTGCAGACTTTATTATTTGTAGCTTGATTTTCTAGCCCAAAAGGAATCTCTATGTATACTTCTTCTTCAAGGTCTCCATTAAGGAATGCATTCTTGACATCAAGTTGAAATAATGGCCAATCTAAATTGGCTGCA